TGTTTGTGCTCCCTTGGGAAGGAAATACTCTTGTTGGTACTACAGATTCTCCTTCAGAAGTAACATTTAATCCTATGCCTAAAGAAGAAGAAATTATGTGGGTTTTGAATGAGTTTAATAAATTTTTGACTCCTGGTTGGTTTTTTTAATAATAAACTTTCTGACTTAACATTAATTTTCCATATGTTTAATTTATTTTTGATTTGATTTTTTGCAATTATCAGAAACAAAAGTTAGACGAAATGATGTTCTAGCTGCTTGGGCTGGAATTCGTCCACTTGTCATGGATCCTGAAGCAAAAGATACTTCAGCTTTGGTACGAAGTCATATGGTCCATGTTAATGATTCAGATTTGATTACTATTACTGGTGGAAAATGGACTACTTATCGAAATATGGCTAAAGAAACTATTGATAAAGCTATTGAAGTTTTTAGTATGTTATATTTAATGATTTCTTCCGTTTTTTTTTTTTAAAAAAAAAAATAATTTTGCTTATTTAATTATTTATTTTCATACTCTAATATTGTAAAAAGACTTGATGCCACTAAATGAATGTCAAACTGAAAATGAAAAGCTTATAGGATCTCAAGGATATTCCGAAACTATGTTCATTGAATTGATTCAACAATTTGGATTGGATACTGAAGTATGTTTATAATTTGATTTGATTTTATATACGTTCAAATACCGATACTAAATATCTTATATGATTTTTTTTAGGTAGCGCAACATTTAGCTCATGATTACGGTGATAGAGCATGGGATATTGTAAAATTGACACACCAAGCAGGTAGTAAAAGATGGCCTGTTCCCATACAAAAGATAAATTCGCAATACCCATATATCGATGCTGAAGTTCGATTTGCCATACGACAGGAATTTGCATGTACAGTAGTAGTAAGTGTTAAAAATATTTAAGTCAACTTTATTAAGTTCAAAGTTTGACTATTTTTTTTTTCTAAATTTTCTAAATAGGATGTGATAGCAAGACGAACTCGTCTCGCATTCTTAAATCCACAAGCAACATTGGAATCTTTACCGCATATAATTGAAATCATGAGTGAGGAATTAAATTGGACTTCTGATAAGAAGAAAAAAGAATATGAAGAAGCAGTAGAGTTTTTGAAAACAATGGGTTTACCAAAGTCAGAAGATGAATTATACCTTGCAAATGCTAGCAAATCACAAGTCAAAAA